CCACCAATCCCCGGGCTCTGAGCCTTCTTCCCTTGGTGGTTCCCCAGCTGGTTCCTCCCACCACTTTCATTTTTGCCGCAAACAAATAATTGAATCTCTCCCCCCCCCTTTCTCTTGTGACAATGTCAGTGCCCTCCCAGAGGCAGAAATGCATCTTGCGTTCTCGGCGTTGCGTTCTCGGCATACAGAGAGTTGCGTTCTTGGCGTACAGGCCAGGACCTGCTTATCTTCAGTGTATAGAAATTGGAATGATCTGATCCTATTCGTAGCCTTACAGAAAGCCTTCCTCTTACACAGTTTTAGAAATTGTTTTGGGGGGAGTAAATATATGAACACCTTGTCTTAAACATGTTGTTCATCATTCTAAAAGAAAGCATGTCATAATTCATTTGACTTCTCGTTTCCCCCACTCTGGGGAGGGGCGGGGAATGCTCCCCAGAAATCCTCTTTCTGCTTAATATTTCTGAACCTACACATCTCTACACCCGAAACACTCTGCCTAACAGTAGAACTGACCCTAGGGAAGAAGGACCTATGGCTTCCTCCATGGTGCTTATACATTTTCTCCATATTGCTCACAATGTTCCATATGGAGCTCTGTGCAAAATGCTCTGATAATTGAAGGAGGGCAAATCAGCTGATTTGGAGGGCATGGGTTTTTTTTGCTTTGTTTTTAAGCAGCTTGTGCTTTTAAAGTGTACAATGGAGAGAGAGAGAGAGAGAGAGAGAGAATGAACAAGAGAACCTCCTGATAATCTGCACTCTGTGAAAATGGAGACTGAAGATTCCCTGAAGATGCCGGTGTTAAGAGCCATTAGATCAAGTCTAGCCTTTGTCCCGGGGGCCATGGCAAAATGTCTACCTCTGTTGCTTTCTAAGGGCTTTCTCTGGTCTAGTGTTAAAGCATTTTAAGTGGTGAGGTTTCCTTCTAGTCTTCTCATAGGATTTTAATGTCAGGGCAATCACCTTGCTAGAAATTGCTCCTAATAGTCAGCTTGCCTTTTTTTGCTTCCTTTCCGGCTCTCTCATTGCACTCTTTTCATTCCCACCCCCCACACATCAACTCATCCTAGTATTTGTAAGTTCTTAAAATAAATCTGCTGCCATGTCTTGAGGTAGCCAAAAATTAAATATGTACTTTGGACTTCTGTTGTACCGTGGGAAAGAGGCACAGTGGTAGAACATCTCCAGGTACTGCTAGGAAGAGTTCCACATTACTGAGGAAGTCAGACCTGACAATGGTACCACCTGCCTCAGTTCACAGGTAGTGCCACCTGCCCTCCAGATGCTGTCAGACTCCAACTCCCATCAGCATTAGCCAGTATGGCCAGTGTCCAGGGATGACAGAAGTTGTTGACATCCGGAAGGTTCTGCATTGGCTACTCTTGCCTTAATTATATATCCAGGTTTGAAGACTGCAACACAATTCTCTGTGACACGGTTTGGTTTATCTTTGAGGAGTCTTAACTAGCTTCACTTGGTCCAGATTGCAGCTTCAGAGATGTTGGTTGATACTCAACCATGCCATGGGATACCAGCCTTGTAACAGCTGCGCTGGTTATCGCTTTGCTTCCAAGGTGCAATTCAGAGTGTTTTTGTGATGATCTTGTAGAGGCCTGAGTGGCTTAGGTCCTTAAGGATCACTGCTTCCTGCACCAACTTGCCTGCTCTCAGATGGAGAGGTCCTTTTCTTTGTCCTACCTAGGGTGAAAACACAACTGCACGGAGCAGGGCAGGGGAGAAGAAGAAGAAGAAGAAGAAGAAGAAGAAGAAGAAGAAGAAGAAGAAGAAGAAGAAGAAGAAGAAGAAGAATTTATTTATACCCCGCCCATCTGGCTGGGCCTCCCCAGCCATTCTGGGTGGCTTCCAAAAAAATATTAAAATACTGTAATACATCAAACATTAAAAGCTTCCCTAAACAGGGCTGCCTTCAGATGTCTTCTAAAAGTCTGGTAGTTGTTGTTCTCTTTGACATCTGGTGGGAGGGCGTTCCACAGGAATAAGAGACTGCCTTACATTGAGTCAGACCATTGGTCCATCTAGCTCAGTATTGTCTACATTGATTGGCTCTGGCTGTCCAGAGATTCAGACATTCTCAGCCTGACCTAGAGATGCCAAGGATCAAACCTGGGAGCTTCTGCATGCAAGTGTAGTTGCTCTGCCACTGAAATGCAGGCCATACACCCTTCTCAGGTGTTATCCTCGGTCCTCTAGCAGTGCTGTCCCAACACCAGCCGTGTACGAAAACAGAGCCTGTGGGCAAAAACCAATCGATTGACCATGGTGGTCTTCAGATCTCCCCATCTCAAGCCTCAGCAATCTGCCTTCAGCAAGTGGACCTTGAAAAGCCTGCCAGCCAGTGAGATTGACTGAAAAGATCATGAACTGCTGGGCAGAATTATGCCAGGGCTTTCCCATCCAGCCATCTGTTTGGGCAGGCACTGCAGCTTTTGTGTTACCCAGATGAGGTAATGTGCTGTGGCAGCCTGTGGAGAGGGAGAGAGGGAGGGAGGGAGGAAAGGAGGGAGGGAGGTGGATGGAGAAAGCAGAATGATTCCTCCTTTCATCAGACATTGACTCGTCCGCCTCACTTTGGGCAACAAGGGGCAGCCAGCTTCCATTTGCCACTGGCCATGACACTGGGCCACCATCCTTGTGGCCTCCTGTTTCCAGTGTCTCAGGAGAGCAACCCTCGGGGCACAATAGCCAGGAGGCTTATTGTTCGTTCTCGTGCTGCTGACTCCACTTGCCAGCAAAAACCTGGATTTAAATATAGAAACCTTAGTTGCCATAACAACCATCATTCCTTTTTTAAAGAAAAAGGAAGGAAGGAAGCTTTCCAGTTTGAGAGGTAGCAAAGTTCTTCTGCTATCCAAGATGCAAACAGCTGCTTTCAGTTCTTTTTGCAAAATGCTCAGCAAAATAAAATAAAACAGAAGCTTGGGCTCATTATATGAAAAGGAGACTGCAAACCCCTCTTGCTCCTCGTGAGAAGCAGGGGGTGGAGGGAGAGAGAGAGAAAGAAAAAGAAAGAAAGAGAGAGAGAGAGAGACATACAGAGGGGTAATGCCTAGGGCTCCATCTGTTGTTTTGATGCCTGGAGTGACCAGCCTGCGTTACAGCGGGGATTCTGCAGTGACTGGGATTTTGTGTGTGCATGTGTGTCTGGGAGAGAGAATGTGTGCGTGTGTGGTCCCCTCCCTTCCTCCTTTCCAGCATCTTAGAACTATCAGAGTTAAAATTCATTACATACATGCATGTGGAGCAGAAAAGCGGGCTGGGGAGGGGGGGGAAGTATGAGATCACCAGAGGCTGATGAATTATAAATCACAGGCAGAGACTCCGATGACCAGCAGCTTGTATACCAATGTGATGCGGCTGTTGCTGGAGAACAACAGGGGCTTGGGGGATCGAATGTTGCAGGCAGTGATAACAGCAACCCGATACTATTGGAAAGCAATCTTGCAAGCTCACCAATCGGAAGGACTCCCTTAAAATTTCAAGGGGGTCCTTCGAAATACAAACAGACCAAAAATAAAAACCTCCCAGATATAATATTTCTCTCTATATAATTTTTTTTTAAAAGGGGCTTCTATTTCCCCTGTGTTCAGAGACCAAACAGGTGCAGTGTGCTCTCCAGAGGCTGTTGCACATCCCATCAGCTCTGACCATTGGATCTGCTTGCTGGGCCTAAAGGGAGGTGTTGTCAAGCAACATCACAAGAGCACCATGGTGGCTGCCACTGCGAGTAACCAGGTGCTCCTCACTGCAGATGGGCAACGTCAATTATTATGACCATTGTTTCATTTCCCGCCCTTCACCTTAAGGTGAACAATAATAGAAACTTTTTTATAAAAAAAAACTTACAATAAAAATAAGGTCGATCCTAAAAATACACTCCTCAAGTGTCAAAAGCTAAGGTGAAGACACATGTCTTCAGCCGTCCTTCAGAAACTGTACAATGAAGGTGTCTCCATGGGGAGGGTGTTCCACAGTTTAGGGGCCACCACAGAGAAGGCCCTTTCCTGGTTTGCTGCCCCCTGAGGTTTTGAGGGTGGAGGAACTCCTAAGAGGGCCCCCTCTGCTGGTCTCAGCACGCAAGAGGGTCTGTAGAGAAGGAGGAGTTCTTTCAGATATCTAAGCCCCCTGTTGCTCCCTACTCTTATGTCTTTAATCTTGACTTGGATCGGGAAGCCCTTCAAATTGTCCTTCAGACAGAGAATTGTGTCCTCTGTAAAGTTGGACCCACATCATCCCCTGTATTAGCTGTCATCTCTTGGGGTGGGTGGAAACTCGGACCTCAGTAACGCATCGTGCGAAGCCTTTTATCTGACGTTATCGAGGAGATACCGATATGTGCCTTAATTATATCACATGTGCGTGTGTGTGACTTCGTAATTCTGGGTTGGTGCCACATACCAGGAGGCACTGGCTCATAATTTCTGGCATGCTTTCAGACTGACCCTAATATTTGCTGCATCAACGGATTAGCACTTAGGGTCTCCCCTGGTACAATGCTGTGTCATCATGTGGAAGAGAAGTGGCGGGGGGCAGGGGCAGGGGGGGTTCCATTGCGCAAACCCAAGGTCTTATTCTCTTTATATATTTCTTTAATTAATTAACTTGGAAAGCCATCACAAGGGAAAACGTGATAAGTGATACATAGGTAAAATCAATCCTGTGTGAACTTGGCTTGTTTTCATTACCCGCAGTTTAAGCAAACCACAGTCCCCCTACCTTGGATGTAACAGGGAACCATTATTTGTTTGGTAGTGGAAATGGATGCTTCTGTTCTCCAGTTTTTGGCACAACAGATGAGGAGAAGGCTGGGAAAATCTGTCAGGCCAAAGCTTGTGCAAGCTTGTTTGTGTAGCAGGAAACCATAGTTTCCTGTTACCTCTGAACCTGGTCTCTCTCTCTGTGTGTATCTGTCCCTCGATGTGATACACGTATCACAATATAGTTTTCATGTTCAAAACAATTTCTCATTTCTTCACCAGGCTCTTGTTCAAAAAACATCTTCCTCTTGCTGATCACCTTAAAGACTGTTGCTGAAATATACAGTGGGGACTTGTGGTTGCATCTTCACAGGTAAGAGACCTCTAAGTAAGGAAAAATACATTTGTTTGCTTGTTATGCATGCTGAGAGAAATTATTTTGGGATGAGATTCAGCAGATTGTTGCAATTGTGCTGTAATGTTCTGCCCAAGGACACCCCAAAGACCTCTTAGGATCACACAAAGAGTCAGGCAACGGAAGCAGAATTGTTTGTTTGTTTTAGATCATGGATGGGGAACTCTGTTGGACTACAGCTCCCATCATCCCTGACCATTGGCCATGTTGGCTGGGGCTGATGGTTAATGGAGTCCAACAACACCTGGAGGGCCACAGGTTCCCCATCCAAGCTTTAGCTGTTGAGTTGCTGCCACTGTTTACAGTGCAATGAATTTTCTAGATAATTTGCATTGGAATTTTTTTGATGCCTTGATTTAACATGTTTATTTTAGTTGTATTTAATGAGCAAAGCTAAAAACTCGAAAGCTGCCAGGTCTGCCTAACACTGTATTTCCCAACTGGCATCCATTCGTTTTTATTAACGAATATACGAAACAGAAATTTCCCCAAACAAAAATAAAGAGCTGGTGAGGGTGGGGAATTCTTCCCACATCACTTGTTGTATAAGACTCACTGGCCTGGTTTGGCTGATCATATCTCGACTTAATGAAGTGAGATATGAAAGGCATTTACTCTCTTCGCTGCTCCCTTTATGAGATGAATAACCAACCCAAAAAGTCTTTCAGTAGCCATAGTTTCCTGTTCAATCTCACTGGAAACTGTGGCTAGCACCTTCAGAACAAGCCAGGATGCTGAACCCATTCCAAAGCATGGCCAGGCTTCTGCTAAAGCTGGTAACCATAGTTCCCCAACTCGGACGTAACAGGAAACTATGATTAATTCTAGCCTTTCTGGTCTGCTTGCTCACACCATGAAGCCACAAAAGATTCATTCACACTTTGCCTTATTAAACCGAGACGTGATGGTCCAAATGCAACTGCTCTCTTGTTGTCTCTCCTCTGCCTTGTACAGCTTTAACCGGTCCTGAAATTCTATGATGCCAAATTGTTTATTCCGAGATGAGTTGTTGTTTTTTTTTTAAAAAGGATGTTTCGTCATCAGATTGCTTGGTCTTGAAGTCGATTCTTTCTCTCCTTTTTATCAGAGCTGTGTGTCACATCCTGTTACCCGCGCTGTCAAATGCCAACGCTGTAAAAACATGGTTCCTGTCCTCTCTCTATGAAGCACTTTCCATTTTCCGAGATGTGCAGTGAAGCTAATGACATTGACATACCTGCAAATATCTTTAGGGCCCCCAGCTTCTGTAAGGGCACCTTCTCCTATGAGAATCTGCCACCAATTAACACCTTCCTCAGGGGACCATCTCTGGAGTTCTTGCCTCTGGTGACTAGCTGTATAGCTGTTAGAGACAGGATCTTCTTGATGGTGGCAGCACAGCTCATTTCGTCCGCTTGTTCACTTGCCTCCTTTTCGTTAATGGTGCTGTAAGCTCTCTTAATTGCTGTACATCTTCTCTCTTAATTGCTCCTTTATCTGTGGGTTTTATTGTTATTTTGGTGCATCGTATGCTAATTTTTCTTTCTGTAAGCTTTTTTGTTGTTGTTGGAAGACGAGCTAGAAATGTTAGGAAATAAAACTTTTAAAGACGAAACAATATTTCAAAATGGAATAAGGGAAAGCAGTTTGTTTAAATGCACTGGTCATGATCTTGGAGTCTCAGAGTGAATTTGGTTTTAGTCTTATAGGCTGCCAGGGTTGCAGTGTGGTCTTTTCTATGTATGTACTTAGGGCAGTGCTGGGCCAGGGTAATTGTTGAATGTGAGGAATAGTGTGTTTGTGTGGGTGGATGTGTATAGAGGTGGATTGACTGAGCTATGGGTGTGTCAGCACATGTGGAATTTGTGTGAGCAATTGAGTGAGTGGAAGTGTATTAAATTAGTGGAAGCTTATTTCATGGATCTTGATGTTTTACATATTGTATTGCTTAATTTTGTTGTTTGATTTTTCCCACAAACTGTGTGTGTGTGTGTGTGTGTGTGTGGAGGGGTAATAATACAGTGGTACCTCAGAAGTTGAACGGAATCTGTTCCGGAAGTTCGTTTGACTTCCAAAACGTTCAGAAACCATGGCGCAGCTTCCGATTGGCTGCAGGAAGCTCCTGCAGCCAATCAGAAGCCACAGAAGCCGCACTGGACGTTCAGGTTCCAAAGAATGTTCGCAAACCGGAACAGTCACTTCTGGGTTTGCGGTGTTCAGGAGCCAAAACGTTCGACTTGCAAGGCGTTCGAGATCCAAGGTACAACAACAACAACAACAACAACAACAGACTAGACCAGTTCAGGAGGTGAACATGACACCATGAGTGGAGATAGCTAGAAATTCTTTATAATGCATGCTCCATTCTCCCCCCTCCCCACAATGGACATATGGTTGATAACATGTTTTCTTCTATTGTATATACTTTGTTGTTCTTGTTACTACAATGACTTATTGAAAACTCAAATAACTCCCTTAAAAACTCAATAAAATACACAGTTTAAGTAACAGTGACGGATACAACCAATATCAGTCATGCACTGAAATGAAGGACATGATGAATTTAGGGCCAGGTATTTAAATAGGTCTACTCTGAGTAAAATGCAGCTGAATGTAAACCATGTTTATGCACCCTTTATCCCATTATTTTATATGCATTTACTTGGCCGGATAATTGCATGGGAAAAATCCTGAGAAAATGCAAATTTTTAAGGATGTCAAAGAATTGTGGAGTCGGAAGGCACCCCGAGGGTCATCTAGTCCAACCCCTGGAATGAAGGAAATCTCAGCAAAAGCATCCAAGACAGATGGCCATCCAGCCTTTGCTTTGAAACCTCCCTGTCTGTTTTTCAATCTGCGTTTTTTTTTGTTTTTTGTTTTTTTTGAAGCTACAAAGTAGGTAAAGTTGCCTATCACAGTGAATTAAATCTAGTGGGTGGCCTGAGCTCTGCCCGACTTGGGAGACTAAGCTTTATTGCAGACCCCATCGACACACTGTGCTTGTGTGAAACTGAATGCAGGTTTGTGGGTCCGCCTCTCTATGCATGAGTTGCGTTTGTAACTTGAGGATCAGCCTGGGATCTCCATTTGTTTCCCTTTTAGCTTGTAAGGGCGCTTTCAGTGCTAATTTTAGGATATTCTCCAAAGATACAATCTTTAGGGTCGGCGTATGATGAATACCCTATTTATTATGCTCCAAACTCTCTTTAAAAAAAGAAAAAGATGTGGTGGTGGGAGGAGGGGGAGATGCATCCTACCCTTAAATATGCCGATCTCCACAGAGCGGGTAAGGGCTCCGTCTAACAGCCAGGAAGAGGCTGTCTGTTTATATTTAAGGCTGTGCCGATGTGAGTTGTGTAAGCAGGTGGCACATTAAAATGCATGCATGATTTCCTACCAGGATGGAGCTCTGTTTTTACTGGCCTTCCCTGCCCTGTAAGTGAGAGGGGGAAGTCAGGAACCATCGCAATGTGAGATATTTCAGGCAGCAGGAGAAGACCCAGAAGGAAAGATTTGTAGATTCTGGAGGGTGATTTGTTCCATCCCCCTATCTAGGCAAACTGTTGCCCCACTGAGTTTGGAAGCAGCCTGTTTTAATTGGAGCCCCTCCTACCTTCCTGGTTTGGGATTTGGAAGGCCTCATGGTAAACAATGAAAGAGATCATTGATAGGAGACTCGGGAGACGGCGCAAACCCCGCTATTCATTTTGGTTTGTCATTTACGCTTCCTCCCCTATGCCTGACCGCTGCATAACATACAGAAATCCTGCAGGTGAAGGGACTTCCTGCCATGGAGATACAGGCAACGAGACAGGGAAAGTATCTCCTGCTGGTTTTCTGTTGCTTGGTGGAAGCCAAATGCTCCCACATTGAATGAGGCAGGGTGAGATTTTGGAGGCACGACCACAAACAATTGGGAAGGATGGGGAGAATTTGCCAATGGCAGGTGCCATTATTTCTCCCACAAGGCTTCAGAGTGAGTAGGGGCAGAGAAACATTGCCCACACTTGGATTTGGCTCCATGCCAATCCCAGGTGATCGGATCATAGAATTGTAGAGTTGGAAGAGACACCAGTGGACATTTAGTCCAACCCCCTGAAATGCAGGAATCTCAGCTAAAGCATCCCTGACAGATGGCCATCCAGCCTCTGCTTAAAAACCTCCACAGGAGAGTCCACCACCTTCTGAGGGAGTCCGTTCGCCTGCCAAACAGCTCTTACCACCAGAAAATTCTTCCTAATGACATGGCTTCATCACGTAACCAAATCATAATGGAACCAAATTGTGGTTAGAGCGATGTGCTTTGACACCAATGCTCCATGCTTTCACTCTGGAGACTTGCAGGGGGCGGGGAATGATGGCACCCCATTGCTTCGGTCATCCCCCCACCCCACCCCAGTGGTATGCAGGTGGTATTGCCGCCAGACTCCCCTCCCTTCCTGGGGTAGGGAAGAGACACAACTTAGCGATCTCAGATCCAAGGGTTGGGATTAGTAAATAAGCAAGTCTGTGCAAATGGATGGGATGGCTCAGCGGAGGATTTTCAGGGTTTGGCAGGGAGAGGCTCCTGAAGTGTTTGGATTGGCAATGTGGAAGATAGCAAGAAAGACAGAGTAGCTGGCATGGAAGCAGCCGTTCCATCAGGAAGCAGGAGAGAAAGAGGGAGGGAGGTACGGTGGTAACTGGAGGACCTCTCCAATGAGTACATTGGCTCTGCTTGAAATACCAGGAACATTTAGCTCCACCTCTCCAATTCTCTCTCCCCCCCCCTTCCATGAACCTGGTCATTTCAAAAGCAAGGAACTAGTGCCTGAACTTGCTTTTTCCCTCTCCCTCCCAATTGATATCCTTTTATGTGACATCTTTTAAATTGTAAGCATGAATACAGTGGCTGTTTCCCCCCCACAGATCTCTGTAAGCTGCTATGGGAGTCTTCTTCCAGCGGAAGAGCAGGATTTTAAAAAGAAATACGTTGCTAT